AGGCTAAGCAAGCTGCACATGTCGCCATTTATGCAATTCTCCATAATAAAGGATGTAATTTTCTGAAAAGCATCTCGAATTACCTCAAGTAGCCAAAGCCAGCTCCCAATTTCACCATCGGCATCAACGAGAACAATGCCATCAAGGTGAATATCTTTTAGCGTACTCTGGTGGCGAAGGAGGAAAAGGGCAAGTTCCATGCCAGTGCAGTCAAACAGCCCTAAGTGGACAATCTCCAGCTTTGGGATAAAAAGCAGCTGAGAAAGCTTCGAGAAGCGGGTATAGGTAGCGTAGTTCGTGGTGTGGAAGTCTGATGACCGCCATTCAGGGGTGCCGGTAAAGCTGCCTCTGTCTTCATCGCGGTATTCAAACTCAATACTAAACTGAGAGAGCTCCGGAAATCGATGGAGGAATTGAATCAGGTCGTATGACCAGTCAATCGAAGTAGCGTTATGCTCGGGAGACTTTGAATCGAGGTTGAGAGACAGAGTAGTTAAGGTATGAAGCCCAAAGTTATCCAAAGCCGCTGATGTGGGCCTAACGAGCATGTCGGGGCTTATGCGGTTGGCATTCTCGACAGCAGAGCCAGAAGTAATGTCTAGGAAGTCAATGGAGGCGTTGCCCTCGGCGAGTGCGGTAAACAGAGCATGTAGCATTCGGCGGACCAGCTCGACACTTTTTGGCGACTTAAAGGTAAGACACCTCTGCGGGAGTATACCGATTTCTTTCTGCAGACGCTTTAAGCTCCAGATGCGATTATCATCAGTGATTCTTATGGTAACGCAATTAACAAGGCTTTTCATAGCACGCGTGAGATAATTGATGTCATCTCCGCACCGGATGAGTTCCTCCTGGTCATGAAAAGCCTTGCGATAAGCTTCTTTGTTTAGAAGGCGTAGGTGAGGGTAGTAGCGATGATGATTGCTCTCGGATCCTTCGTTACTTGCATCTTCTTCAGCTTCCTCTTCAGCCTCCTCTTCAGCCTCCTCTTCAGCCTCCTCTTCATCCTCTTCTCCATCCTCCTCTTCATCCTCCACTTCATCCTCCTCTTCATCCCCGGTCTCTTCATCTTGACCATTTCTCCTGCGTTCTAACGTGGCCTCCATCTCTGATATAGGCCTAGAAGGCGGTTCAATGGTGCGGAGCTCATCAAACGGCAAAAGGTGATTCGTACTAATCTCCACTTCTTTCATCAACGGACCAAGAGATGGGTGCTCGGCAATATAAGCTAGGGCCTCCAAGCTTCGGCGCTCAAGCATAACGCGGCGCATGCCAAAATGATTTTTGGCAAATACATGAGGGGCAAATAGGTGAAATGTATTATGATTCAGCGTGTGACACGTTTGGCGTAGGCAAAAGAGATCGTTAAGCGATAGATGTTCGATTATATAGCCAGTGATCTCTCGAGGGAGATGCAAGATTGGCGTCATATCTGCGGAATAATAGAGAGCCTGTTTTAAAATAAATGATGGTTTAAGAATGGTATAGACAGTTCGAGATATATCCTCTGCTGTTGGCTGGCTGGAATGGGGGAGGGTGGATGACGCTAAGAAGGTGGGTTGTAGAGTTGCGGAACTTACACATTTCCGAACGTCAATCTGATTGATGAATTAACCAGGGCGGCACGGGCCTTTATAGCACATGCATGCAGCAATACTAGCTGTACATGGTGGGGGCATGGTCTCTGTTTCGGGCCTTGGCGCTAGGGAATAACAAGCGCAGGGCTACAAGAATAAGTCAGCTCGCAGCTGGGCTAAAGAGAAGATTGAACTTGAGGGCTAGAAGAAAAAAAGCTATAGGTGTAGCTGCAGCTGCAGCTATGATCAAAAGGATGGATATACTGGGCAAAAGGGTAGGGGTATGAGGCAGGGGGCCATAAGAGCAGGGGAAGAAGGATTAGATAAGAATATGCGTTTAAATGGGGTTTAAGCCAAGCAGGTAGGGGTTTAGGCTAAGGTAGACACTTATATTTGGGGTGCGCCCGGATTTTCGGAGAGTGTTTTTGTGACCTTTTCGCATTGCCTTTTCTTACAAGCTTTCTTACAGCCTTTTCCCGCGATTGTCTCGCACCACTTTTCGCACGACTTTTCACACAACTTTTCGCACGACTTTTTCACAATACCTTCCTACCTCTTTCATACATACCTTTTTCCTATTACTTCAACAGACCAGCTGTATTCATCGCCTTAATGCACCGGCTTTGTTTATCGCCTTAATGCACTGCTTTTATTTATCCCTTTCGTTTATATCTTCTTATTTTTTTTTTTTATTTCCCCCGTTTATTTAATCCTTTTATTCGTCGCTTTTATTCGTTGCTTTAAGGCACCGCCTTATACACTGGCTTTATATATATTGCCTATATATGCTGGATGAGTTACAAGCTCTCTCTTGTGTATATGCCCTTTTTTTTTTCAACATGAGTGCTGCTTTTTACACAAGTGTTGTTTTCTGAAGCAGAGTTGATTTAGAAGACCGGGGGTAGAGTTGGTTTTTTATCGATATAGCAAAGGCGCACAAGGTAGCTCGCTGAGTTTTCGCCGAAGGTCTAGTGAAATAGCTAACTAACCCCTATATGCGGCATATGCTGACTGTATTTTCCAACTTCGTTCATATATAATAAAGCAACGTCTCGCTGTATAATATAACGGGGGAAACTAGGAGTACATAATCATTATTAGCATGTCTTTGTCGTCCTCCTATCATATGAAAAGGAACCCTTTGTTTAATTACCCACTTATCGGCTTGTTGTCTGTCAATGATGTCGCTTTGCTTGTGTTGCTGATGAGACTACCACACATCTGCAGAAGCGACACTGCGAAATTCCGCCTGCCGAGCGACGCAAAATAGTCAGTGCAGTTAAAAAGATTAATAAAATCATTCGCAGGCAGGCCGACTTAGAAAATTTTAAGTTTCCTCCGCCAACTATAGAGCCAATATCATCTCTTGAGCCCCCAAGATCCGATGGCATGAAATGCCGAGCTTGCGATCATATTGCTTGCCAAATATAGAAAATACAGGCTCACTGTCACGAAAAGCACGACTGGATAAACCCACGGAAGAAAGGGCGGCAGCCAGCCGTGCAGCCACTGATCCAAGAGGAGGCAACTCCAGGCTCTCTCTAGATTTTGTTTTGCTAGAGAGATTTGATCCACTCATGTCATTCAGCTCATGAGTGTTACCAGATTCATCCTGCTCATCTAAGGAGTCTATCTCTGTTCCCGTCTCTGATTCAGAATCTTCCTTTGGTAAAAATTCGACGTTGGTATAAGTTGTACCATATTCTTCTTCCTGATTGATTATGATATCTTCGCCCTGTTCCCTTTCTTCGAGATTTTCAGGGGCTCCATGGCCGTTCGTGCCGGGGCCATCTTCTAGGGTAGATGGTGGTTCAGCGGGTGCCTGATGCGCATACATCGACTGATAAGCTGACGTAAGGAATATTTCGTTATTTTCATTGTAGTCATTATCGTCACAGATGGCCGAGGCCGGATTATTACAACGTAGAGCCTCTATTGAAGGCGGAATGCCGGGCTGTAATGTCTTTTTGGCCTCCAGCTGAGGGTATCCAGTATTGAACCGAGTGGCCGGACGAGATGTGTTTTGTAGAAGCGGTAATGTTAACATAGGAGGCAATAATGCTTCGGTGGTGCTGCAGCCTGGCTGAAATCCATTGTTGCAGGGTATTGCTTCGTTTCTATGAGGCTCAACTGGTTCGCAAGAGGCTGTTAAGGTTGGATATGCTGGGTTAGTACTATTTGCAAGGCCATTGAGGCGATCGAAGGACTGAAAAGAGGTGTGTTGTGTCGATGGCGTGAGCATAGCGTCTGGCTGCGGGGCGGTGTAGATCCGAAATCGAATATCTCCTTGTGCTCTTGTATAAGCAGATTGAAGTTGTCGACGAGCACGTCTTCCAATACGTCTTGCGATAACATCTTTGCTTCGCCTTCTCCTCTTTAAACGCGTATTTTCGGGGCCTACCGACGTTTTTGGGACCTTGTGGCATGATTAATATGTTTTGGTAGATATATAGAGGGGCTGTATATATCACCCATATGTAGGTTTCTAGCTTACAACTGGTAAGTTCTTACAATAAATAAACTGCGGGGTTCATATCTGAATATACTAATTAGGCTAGTTTTTCAACCATTAAATTATTGAGGCTAGAATGTTGACTGTAAAACTCAAACAGGCTAGCTTAATGACTGCAAAGCCTAAAGCGGTAATTTACGCGGACCTGAATGATGAAAAAATAAGACAAAGCGGCGCATAGAATAATCTGTCTAAAGAATGATTGTGGTCCATTTGAGTGGATCTTTATTGATGATAATGGTTAAGAATGAATATGTAAAGGGTAGGACAAAGACTGGCGGGATTCCCCATCCTGCCTGGCAGTAACTACCCACCGGTTCCACTTTTCCACTTTTAGTGACCAACTTTGAAGCGAGCCTCAAAGTTGGTCACTAAAAGTGGAACCAACGGGGTTACTAACTTGCAACCCTCGTATTTATACCGCTCACGACTACTTTTTCCATTATCATTGCTCTACTTCATCAACCAAAGAAAAAGATACCAAAATATGGTGAGCACAGCGTTTGATGTCGAGGTTGCAGCCGGAGCCCCACTAAGAATGTGCTATTCTGGGTGATGTTTGAAATGCCTATTAACGTCGGATGGCTGCAGATCTAGAGATAGGAAGTCCAGCGGCCGATCAGTTATCCTTCTATGGCATTCCGACGACTACCCACAGCGTCTTGTCTCCTAGAAGTAGAGAGGAAGTTCCGAGCCTTGAAGATTCGCAAGCTGACTCAACACGGCGGAATTCCTCACTTTAGAAGCTTACAGAAGCTTTCTGTTGAGATCATACGCGACTCATATTACGATAAATCGAACATGCTTTCGTCAGCTGGCGCCTGGGTCAGAAAGCGAAATGGAGAGTGGCAAGCAAAAATAAAGAAAGGAGGTAATTTCACGAACTCGAGATTTCAAGAGCTCAGTCATATAGACGAAATCGAAGCCCATGTGAAGAGGGTTGTTGGTATTGGAGGAGCAACAAGCAACTTTGGCCTTCAACCTGTAGCGACCTTCTCCACCACACGAGAATCGTGGATTGCTGATGGCGAGTTCCGAATTGTACTCGATACGACGGACTTTGATCACCAAGTTGGCGAAGTCGAATTGCAGAAAGTTCTAGTTGGCAACAACGGAGACGACGCGCCGGATGAGCTGCGGCAGCAAAGAGAAATGCAACTGATGGATGAGAAAATTGTCACATTCATGCAAACATATGCATGGGCATTTTCCGTGGGCGAGCCAAAGGGCAAACTGACTGCGTACTTTGAGCTCCTGCGAACTCAGGATAATTAAGATATGTATGAGCGTAGACACCAAACTCTGTTATGGCGGCGCACATCAGCACATAATAGAATAGGCGGTACATAGACATCAGGAATACCCAAGGATTTAAAGACCTGCAACTCTAGAGATCATTGCTTCACTTTGGTAAATCAATTTGTGCCTGAATAAATACACCGCCTTTCTCTCCTATCTCAACCTCTACTACCCTAATGTATGCTATCTTGCCTGCTTTCTCAGCAGCTCGATATGAAGGGATTAATCGCTAATAGTTCACTGCAGTGGCTCAAGCAAACTGCCCGCCCTCGGCGTAACGGTGGAATATGATGCCTGGGTGATGGTTCTCCATTCATCTCTAGTCTGCAGTATATCCAGCAGCTTCTTATAAGAGGTATTAGTATCATCACTAGTATCAGTCTAGTTAAGTGTTAGTCGACGTAATATGAAAAAATAGATTCATTGCTTGCCGTGATGAGTCTTCCGTTTTCCTCATAATAATGAAGCAGAGGCGGGTTCAGCATTACAAATTCGGCATATCTCTTCCGGAATGTCTCCCGGTTGTCTCCGTCTCGGCCTTCTCTCCTGCAGATAACTCGTTCTTCAGCTAGCTCTTTAGGGCAGCTGAAGAACAAAGTCAACAGTGGGCGCTGGAACTGAAAATAATTAGCAATAAAATAGTACCCCGCAACCATCAGTCAACTCTATGATACATACAATTGTCTCGAATTCCTTTGCTTGATCCAGTCTTCGAGGGAAACCGTCTAGCACAATATTATATCCTCTCTTCAAAATCCTGAGATGAGGTTCTAGAATTCGGAACAGCAGTTCCTTAGTCAAGAGCTCTCCACGTTGTACGAATTCGATGACAGTCTTATCTGCGTTGGATGATGAGACGACTTGCCGGAGGAGATCTCCGATGGAAAGGTGCACGAAGCCATAATCTTTTGCAAGCCTCTTGCAAAGAGTTCCCTTGCCCGCCCCAGGAGAGCCTAATGAATATCAGCTGGTAGTCTCGGGCAGAGTTAGACTTTGGGAACTACCAAGCACAAATATCAGTTCTCCTCTCTGTGAATCCATGATGCATTCGCTACGTGTGTATTTAATTTTTTAATATAGTGAGCTAGATACAACTGTAATGTTTCTATGCGGCTTTTATTGAGGGGGTTGAGAGGGGTTGTCGGCCTCCCACACTTATCAAGGGTGAAAGTACATCTGCACGTGCCTCCAGCATACAGGTTCGACCCCGCCCGATTATAATGAATAACATAGAACTATGTTCCCTAACATCTTCATCCTACTCATTATTACATTGCGAAGCGTGTCTACTGCGGCCGATTTCTACATCAGCCATGATTCTCTTTACATCCTTGACTCTTCTAACCATTGTTGCGAGTTTTGTATTTTTGAGGAAACATTTTCGCCGTCGCCAAATCCCGGTATCAGTCAACTATCATTTCACACGAAAATGCAATAAGACATGCGGCTTTTGTTTCCACACAGCAACAACTTCTTTCATCGAAGATGCTGGGAGGGCTAAAAAAGGCCTCCTGCTTCTTAAACAAGCTGGAATGAGAAAGATTAATTTTTCAGGAGGAGAACCGTTCCTATATCCTAAATTTCTTGGACAGATGATCGATTTCTGCAAAAACACTCTGCGCCTCGAATCTATTTCTATCGTTACTAATGGAAGTCTTGTTAAAGAATCATTTCTTAAAAAGCACGGCCAGAATATCGACATTCTAGCCATTAGCTGCGATTCGTTTGACGAAGCCACGAACATAAAAATCGGCCGAGGGTCGGGTGACCAAGTAAAAAGGCTGTATGACATTGCCTCCTGGTGTCAAAGATATGATATCAAGTTTAAGCTCAATACTGTGGTCAACAGACTTAATTATATGGAGAATATGAACGACCATATTAATGTGCTCCAGCCGTTTCGATGGAAATGCTTTCAGGTGCTAATTGTGGAGGGTGAAAACGACTCAACCAAAACCCTGCGGGATGGTCATAAGTTTACCATTTCGGACGACGAGTTTGACGACTTTTGCCAAAGGCACAGTGGGCAAAAATCCCTAGTACCAGAACCGAACAGGCTTATGGCTAAGTCTTACCTAATACTCGACGAATATATGCGATTCTTGGATAGGAATGGTCGGCAGCCTTCGGAGCCGATCTTAGAAGTTGGCGTTCAGAAGGCTTTGGAAGGTGTCTTTTGGGACGAAGCAGCCTTCTTAGAACGAGGAGGTCTCTACGATTGGAAGAAGGCGTCTTGTTTGAATGAGAATAAAGGATTGGAATGGTAGCTACGCTTTTGAACCTACTCGTAGGTAAGACTTCTTCTGCGAGTTCACCAAACGTACCGTTGATTATCGATAATATCAACATGGGGTATATGTTGAGTATCACCTGCATTTCTTGGCAGAGGTGATATCGAAGAAACACCTCCAATAGAAAGTTATCAGGATCAAGGAAATAACAAGCACAAGGAAGCAGTTGCATAAACAATTATAGCTTTAAAGCACATCCATCTCCGTGGCTGCAATTGAACAGGTCGGACTAGCCACCAGTCGGGGTCAGTACTCTCCTACTTAGACAGGCTTACTTTTACTCTCTGCGAATAAATGATTCTCGCATAAGCCACTAAGGCTTGAAAAAGTCCAACGTGGTGAAGTTGATGTGATGCTGGACCCAGCGCTGACCTGTGAAAGCCCGTTTGCTCGCTATCACTCCAATGCACACTCGTTCTCGGATTATGAATGAGATTGTATAGCCATCCGGCAATCTCTCTTTCTTTTTCAACCCTCGCTCAGCCGCTAACTTACTCAAGGGAACCAAAACGCAGCATTACCAGGCGATGGCCGACCGATACTGCTTCACATAGCGGCGTTGGCATATCACTACGGCTCGAATGTGGCGACCAAGCGCCACAGCCAGATCTGGTTCGGCCAGCTGGGCGGCAAGGCGATCCGGGACGCTAGAGGCGCGGGCAAGTTCCTGGAAGATGTGTTTCGCATGATGTGGGTGCCGCAGACCGTTTCCTTCATGACCTACCCGCTGCGGAAGGACCTCGGGCGTAATACACGGAGAGAAGGGGTCCCGTCAGAGCATCGAATGCGGCGGCTAGAGGAGGCGAGAAGGTCACTGGATACCTGGGAGGCCGGTGACGGGCCCTTTTACAATGAGGTAAGCGATGAGACGCACGAGCCAGGATCCAACACCGCCGGACATCTTTCTTTGCTAACCATAGAATCGCGCACAGGACGTATACGGCACTGTTTGGGGAGTCGACTTCGCCATCATCGCCGTTGTTAGCATCAAGGCCACAAGCCAGTAAGCCGCATTATTCCGTAACAACGTCAAGCACGGCACGGCAGGATTTCGCCAGAGGCATATACGAAGAATGCGTGTCCGAATACGAATCAGCCGGGAAGTCCATGTCGTCGACGCACAGCACGTGGTTCCCGATCCTACGGGGCGCCATACAGCACACAAGCGAAGATTATGTCTCCCGGCAAGACTGGATCGCGGCACTGGCCTCGGCGATGGCGGCGGCGGGGATCAAGTGGGTGCCGGGGAGTCACCGGGGCCGGCTCACATCGCAGCGGGTGGTGAAGCTCGTGGGGATCAGCAAGCCTAAACTGTTCCTCGCGGGCCCGGCGAGAAGCCTAAAGAGAGCCGCCATAGAGGCAGACGATCGACTTCGGGTGCGAGATCCCCTTCACAACGGTGCCCAAGCTGATCGCAGACGGCTTCTCGGAGCTGGACAAGCTGTTTCAGAAGGGCAACAAGAGCGTGTTAAACCACTGCCACATGGCTCATATGTGCCTGGTCGACAGCCTGGGACACTACCCATGCAATCTAATGCTGATGCTTGCCCTAACAATGGCCGGAAGCTCCGCAACGCCCCAGGTCAAGGAAGATGAGCGGTGTTTCAGCGCCTCGGAGAACAGGAAGAACCCAGCATTTTTTGCGGCCAACCTGGTGACCCAGATGCTTTGGTTCTTGAAGCCGTCAGCTTTCCCGCAAGGGACAGAGGACGAGCGGGGAGTGATGGGAATCAGCGAGATGGCGAAGAAAGTTGGTAAGTGACAAACGCCACCATTGCAGAAAAATATAAACTTATGGCCTGCGTACTCGTGCGTTATTATTCTGCAGAATACTAACCCTCCTATAGAGCACAAAGGCGTCAATGGCCGGATACTGCGAGAGCTTGGGTGGATTAAAGCATGGGGCAATCGGAGCACCCCGCGTATAAGTGAATCGTCGCTGCAGGACGATGAGACGCTGTATAAGATGAATTCGCAGCTGTTACGTGCACGGAACGACGCACAGGAGTTTATCGGGCTTGTGTTTAATAGCACTGATCCAGTATGGGTAGACAGGTGCTCGTCAATTACTAAAGAGAGGTAGAAAATAAACGAACAAGGCCCTGAATATGTGCAGGTGATGAAGTAGCTCCTACGCCAGCGTATATAAACCTAGTAGTATATCTGAAAAGGGTTTGCCTAGAATTCTAGGACTCAGATGGAATAACATTCTCAACGCTGACAAGCTGGTTATATACCAAACTATAACTTAATATAAGTTATACGCTTTTGATTCATGGCCAGTCCACCTATAAGTGCCAACCAACTCAATATCCCCGAACCGCTCTGGATCGTCTCGAAGGAATGGAGGCGTTGTTATCGATGACTACACGCTACCTCTAGCCTTCGCTGCGCGGCGATCTAAAACCCCTCACCCCCAAGCCTTATAGCCAGCCCCTTCGATAGTATAGATTACTGGAATGTGGTTTCCATTCCAAGGTAGTGCTAAAGTTTGCTGTCTAAGTCTTCTAACTTTAGTAATGATGTAATTGAGATTGTGATCCGTTGGAAACATAGATACTAATAGATGTAACAAACTAGATAGTTTAACCTTTTTATTTACATTGTAAAGGAAATGATTTAATGATTGGCAGGATATTGTTTGGCTTGTTCTATTATATAGTGAAACATGCTAGTTAACTGGATAAAGTAAAACGTGGCGATTAGATTATATATTAGTATGGAGTATGATTTTGCTTGTGTGGGACAGCAGCGAAACAGAATGGAATAAGGAACATAGAACTACGTTTCTAATCGGACTATGAATCTGTAGGCGCAACGGGGTGCTTTATCTAAGCCGCTTCGCCTAAGTTAAGCTGAGGCTCTAAATATCTATATTAATCTCAGTTTCTCCTTTACTATAGACATGTCCCTACCTTAAGCAGAATTCCTAGTAAGTAGAAGATTCTCCTACCAAATCACTTAAAACTTACACTCAACTTTTATCTTCACAACATTATAATGACTACCTACGGATACATTGAACAGTTGATGGTATATTGCACTTGTTTAATAGCTGCAGTCAGTTTATGGTTCTTACTGACATCATCATCATTATCAGTAACTAGATATGGGGAAAATCTTTAAATCTGATCGAGATGAGGTTCGAGCCCGCCTTGAAGCGGGTGGCTGGGATGTCTATTACGGGGATGTCGTTGAAGAATGGGAATCCGTTTTAGGTATCTTGGCTACTGTTATCTCAGGTGGTTTGGGTCTCGAGGGGTGGGTCACATGGCAAATTTCAACCCAACTTGCCAAGTTTGGACAGACGTTGGACAACTTACCAGCTGATGTCCTTAATCAGGCCATTAAAGTATTAAAGGACGCTATCGTGAAGGATTTAACTGGAGAGTGGGATATTGGTGGCCTAGGAATTAAGGCTGGAGTGGCCACGTACCACTACTGGTGGAAGTTCAAGGGCCTTGGTGGCTGGAACAAGTATTTCGATAAATATCAGCCATACATCGGTTTTCGCCTCACAGCTCAACTTCCGAAGGACGGAAAGTTTCAAGTGGTTGAAACCAAAACTCCAGTTTCAATTGCAAAGAGCTTTCCCACTCCATCTACATCTGAACCCCCTCCTTCTCTTACAGCTACATATGAGGATACCAACTTGGGTTTTAGAATTAAGCAAGTGGCAGAGGGCTTCAAAGGCATCAATTAACAAATACGAGTTAGCAACTTTGTTTAGCTTTTAAGATAGGCTAAGTGGATATTTTTTAATATTTAAATGACATGTATATATTTTCTATACCTTCCGATATACCTTTTTTTCAACTACTTGGGTTCATGTAAATCACTGCTTTAGGTTTTGCAGCTCTCAAATTAGGCTATCTGAGTTGTGAGGCCAATGTTCCAGCCTAGGATAACGTAATAGTCAAAAGACTAATATAATCGGTATAATCACGTATAAATCTTCAAGGTTATTTTATTCACAACTTAGGAGTTGTAAACTAGAAACTTACGTATGTATATTATATTATACCCCAGGGCCTTAACTCATATGGGAGGTTAAGATCCTTACCATAGCTCACCCCCTCCCCCCAAACCTCTGCCCCCAGAGGTAGATTATTCCACATCTGCTGCTTAACATCATAAACCAAATTGATTCCTGCCTCCGGAGGCAGAACGTTCCTCTATCAATAGACATAGAATACCAGCGCACATGCCTTAAGCCGCTATAAAATCTAATTTAAAACACCCAATCCTAAATTCGCTGCTGCTTTACTTATTTATCACCCCTCTTCTCTGGCCTGGGTACCCGGGCACAAAGACATACACGGAAACGAAGTAGCAGACAAACTCGCGAAGGAAGGGTCAGAACTTCCTACTCCACCATCCAGGACCGCAACGATAACCCACATTAAAAGGTGGGCTAAAAGCGAAAGGAAACGGCTTCAGGAGCTAGACTGGGACCAAAACCGACCGCCTTACTACAGACGCTGGCGACTAGACGCTCTCCCCAAACCCCCGGAGCTCCAACTCCCAAGAGCCATACTTCACAGGCTCTACGCGGAAAGGACGGGACACGGGGACTTTGTCGAGTACCACGAAAGATTCGGTCACGACACCAGACCCACCTGCAAATGCGGCGAACCAAGGACTCAAGGCCACTTCGTGGAGTGCAGAATGGTTCAACCCTGGCTGCCGGAAGTCCCCGAAAAAGACCTCCGCGCAGGCATCACTCCTCTTACCTACCTATTAGACCCCAATGGATACAAACACTTTCAGACACTAGTGGAGGACACGAGCCCTTACGGCCCTGCCCCCCAAGACACAGATTGACACAGCCAGACACAGATTGACACAGCACTTTCCTTTGTTTCGTATGACACGTAGCGAACGCGGATTCTGAACCAGCGGCTCCTACCGTCCTATTGCCCAGAAGGGATTCATGTAACTAGCTTACTTAGTGGACGTTAATAATAAAACAAACAAACAAACAAACAAACAAACACCCCTCTTCTCCTTCTCTTCTCCTTACTCTATCAGTCTATATTCTATAGCCCCTTTCCTCTTTCCTTTTCTCTTTGCCTTCATTCCACAACGTCTCTCTTAAGAACAATGACTTCAACACACAGTGACCCTACCCCAAGGGTTGAAAGTATACAGTAAATGCACTTATTAAACAACTTGTTACGATCTGGTCCGCCGTAACAGTTAGATCCCTTATAAGTAGCTACGGCTGTTCTATTACCAAACAGGCTGCTTTCTTATCAAATCATCACTGCACAGAACGGGGATTTAGGCAAATAATGAGCGCGCAAAAGAGTTTCTAAAGACAGGTGTCAAGCATTAGTTAGCCGCCACCTTAAAACATGTTCATTTATACCAAGTTCGTGGCCATTAACTAGTAAAGCTCACTTAATCTTCTGCTCTATACGCCAATCTAATACCAGATTAAATACTGCCATCGCGTTCGTCATTTCCTGCCCGCAGATAAGCCTGCTGTATTTACGGCCCAGCCAGCTGATATACTCTTGCTGCCCGCATAGCTCCCGCCCGGCGAGCCCCTGCAACTGACCCCAGAGGCCTTCATCGTGGCGAGCAGCAAATGCTTCCATTGACACTGGGACCCCCGCGTCTGGTAGCCATCTGAGCAAAGACTCTGAGAGACATAGCAGTAAAAGCAGCTAAGAAACTTAGCTTGTGCATCTTTCCGATAGTCTACTCCGCGCTGGGACTTCATGCACTCTTCAAATGTAACAGACTCTTCTTGGAGTTGGCCGCAACCATACCAGCTATGCTTGGCAGCCTGTGCTCCTTTGAACATCCAGCAGATCCGACACGCCAGCTTCCCCAGCTCCTGCACCTCGTTAAGTGCTGCCTCTATTCGTTCAAGGCCGCGTGCCGCCTTCCGCCCGTATGCCGCCGATGCAATAATCCCCTGGGCTGAGAGCTCGCTTTTCCAGACCATCTGCTGCCGCTGGCAGTTATCGCATGGCACAGCGTCATCAATCCCATCGCAGTCCCGCGTATCATTGTCCAGACACTGGCCGAGAACACGCCTCCGGCAGCCCTTTGTCCGGATTAGAGAGTTCACCTCGCGTACCTTCATCTCGAAGCGGCCATCTGTCCTTAAATCTTCAGACGGCCAGTCTTTCTCCTCGACCACGATCACGGCCGCCACGCGCTCTCCGGCTCTTCCCGCACGACCAGCCTCCTGTGCGTAGTCGATGATGCTGTGCGGCGCCTCGAGGTGGATGACGTGCGTTATGCCCGGTACGTCAATCCCCGTCCCCAGTGCAGCCGTGGCCACGATTTACGGGGTTTCGCCCCGGAGCCAGGCCTGGAAACCAGATTCTCGCTGAGCGAGGAAGTGTGCATCGCCGCCTTCATTCGGGTCGCCGTGGTAGTAGTGGCAGCCCATCAACAGAGCCAACGCCTTGCATTTCGCATGGCTCGTGCAGTAGACCACGCCCTTCTCTCCAGGCGCGAGCAGGCCGACCCGAGCCTCGACCAACTTCTTGACCTCCATCGGGCCCCGCCCATTGCGAACCCGCAGGACCGAGTAGTGGGAATTTGCGCGGTGGCTCGAGGCCCTGATGTAGAGGGGATGCTGCAACTGCATGGCTTCCTCAAAGTCACGCTGAGCGAGCGGCGGCAGCGTGCCGGTCAGGAACACGAAAGGGCAGCCTAGACTGCGCAGACGCACTAACCCTTGAAGCTTCTTCCGGTATTCGTAAGCGGCAGTGAATGTGAGATGGCACTCGTCGATGACCACGCGGTCTAGCCTCCCCCGGACGCTTAGATCCGCTGCCCACTGCATGAAATCATCCCCCGTAGCGGCCTCTGCGGAGACGATCACGACCCAGGGCCAGGAGTCGCGTGCCTGCGGCCAGTGCTTGCAGTCGATGCCTGCATCGAGGCAGCGCGTGACGAGCTGCCTCTTGAGCTCGGCATAGGGCGCCACCACGATGGTGACTCCGGCTCCGGCTAGCATGGCCGGCACCATGAAGGTCAAGCTCTTCCCTCCGCCGGTGGGAAGGATGGCAACTAGCGGCGTTGCTTCGCGGCGGCCATCCGTACGGCTTCTTCCTGCTGAGGCGTCCGGAACCTTGCATGATTGTCCCGAAGAACTGCCTGCAAGGCTTTTAGTATGACCTGGTCCTGCCCTGAACCAAGTCTCGGCTTCTCCAGATACATGACCCTGGCTCGTTTCGAGGGCCGAAGCGCCTGCGGCTTGATATCAGCCTCTGCCTCTCGCTTCAGTGGCAGTGGTGGCGGCCCGGATGATGGCTGGTCAAGCTCGAGGAATTTATGCCATCGATGACTGACCTGGCCAAATATCTCGAGAGATTCGGCAGTCAGACGCCTGAGCACGTCGATGGTGACGCCGTAATTAGCGGCCGCCTTGGTCGTGTGGGCAGCGGCTAAGTCGTCTGATATTTCATACTGTTCCGCCTCATCATCATCGTCGTTGTCGTCTTCTTCAAAGTCCGCCGTGGCGGCACCGCGCTGGCGAGCATGATTTTTGCTAACCGCGATCGCAATGTGCCGCCAATCCTGTAGGATAATTCTGCGGCCTATATAATGATAGGACCACTTTGCCATCGCCTTCGATATTCAAGTTCCGTCCCATGGCCCATTCTCGTCATGCCAGATAAAGTCGCTTGGCGGTTTCGTCTTGCCATACAAGGCCCACTGCTCTGCCTCCCAGCGGTCGGTAAGCGGTCTGATATACACAAAGTACATTGCCATGAGCTGGGCGACTCGAGGAGGTAGGAAGCGCGGTATAACCTTTGGAGCATCGAAGTGTGCTAGCGACTTGTGGTACTGCGTCACCGTCACCATTTCGCCATCAATAATAAACACGCCGCGGTCACGGTTGATGCCGTTCACCCAACGCAGGCCTCCAAGCTTGTCGCCCCGCGCTGGAGCACCTCCTCCCATGTGTGCCGATAGCATAAACAGCTCCTTGAACCGGTCTACGCTCTTCAAATACCCTCGGATGCCTTCCCAATTCCAGCGGCCGTCCTTTTCGAGGAAGTCTTGCCTCCGCTTTCCGCGGACGAGATCCTCTAGCATCTCACCCTCCTTCCCGGCCAAGCCGCTGTTGGTGTGTACAAAGGACTGGCCCCGCTGCGTTTGCGTTAAGTCATCTTCGACATCAGCCAGCGGTATTGTGAAACGATTATCATCTCCATCGCCCTTTTTTCTTTGAACATTAGCTCTGTCCAGAGCCAAGTTTCCGCATCCGTAATCATCTCATGTACCATGGCCCGGAGGGCGTCCATAGGGATCGGCTTCCCCATGAAATACATCAAGTCGCCCTGCTTGCTTCAGGACACCATCAGCCGGCTACCCGTTTCCTTTGCGATCTTGCGACCGTAGAGAAGCAGGCTGAGCGTATAGCCCATAGGCGAGTACGTCGCCTTACACAGCCAGGCATCCCGGACTCGGGCGAAGCGCTTCTCAAGTATGCACGAAGCAACATCATATCCTCAGACGCTCACCTGTGCTTTCAGGTCTGATACTCTTTCACTTCCAGGTTCGATTTCACAACGTGGGGATCTCTGTTACAGATGCCTGGGGGTCTACTATCTACACCGCTCACCTATACAACGCATTGCGCAATGAGGAACTTCTACAGAGACGATGGAATGGCATGGACGTGGCCCAAATTCTGTTACGTGAGGAAAGCTTCTACGTAGGAGGCTGGCCACAGAACAAAGAAGGGTACTTACAAGAATTCTGTCTCCGGCTGGGAATGGACGTAGCTTCATTCAAGAAGCCAATTCAAGGCCAACGGAGATCCAATGGCTTTGGATCAGGTGCGGAGGGTCCAAAGATAAAAGATCGCATTCCGGTATCT